AGTGTATGGTGCAGAGCAGTTACTTGATAAATGTTAGGTTCATTTATCCTTTCTTCTTCCTCTCTCTTGAACCTTGGGGTGCTTTACCACTGAGCTACATCCACATCCCTATTTATTTATTTTATTTAGAGATAGGGTCTTGCCAGTTTGCTGAGGCTGACTCTGAACTTGTGATCCTCCTACCTCAGCCTCCTGAGTGAATGGGATTACAGGCGTGGGCCACCGTACCTGGCTTCTTTTTCTTTTAGTTTTCAGTGCACCCAGTTGTTGCTGGTTATATTTTTAAATGGATGAGTGGTGTTTTTTTGTTGTTGTTGTTGTTCTTTCTAGGGCTATTATCATATGGACGCTATAAACTGGTTGATATAATTGGTAATATTTGGTAAATACAAACTAATGATGTATATTAAAGTAATGCTGAATGTTGGTATTAACATCTTCAAGAAAAAACATTCTATTTAATTAAATGCTTGAGGTACTTGCAGAATTTAAATTTGTGATTTAAGTCTGTGCTTTTCAAATTTATGTGTTTGAAAAGAATGAGAAACTGCAAATAGGCTAACTGTTCTTAACAGCTTTTAATTTGCAGTTAAAGTATGGTGTATTTTATATGCATGCATGTATGTTTTTACAGGTGAATATAAAGTGCTAATCTGTTGCCTCTGAATATAATTGAAACAGAAAACAGGAAGATGGCAGCAAATCCTTCAGGACAAGGTAATACATGCTGGAATTTCTGTTATTACTAGGAACTTTTTCCACATATGTTAAATGTATTTGAATTAGAGGAAATTTAGAATAGGACAATTACTGTAGCCAGAATTTTAAAGTGAATAGCAAAGTGAAATCCAAATTTGAAATTAGTTCAACATTATATCAGATATACAGCATCTTTAATGTGATTAATCGTGTATTTTAATGTTAAGAATACTCACACTGAACATTTGTACTCCTCTGACACCTGCATTCTCTTGTTTTTTCTTGAAATCAGAATCATTTTTAAAGCTATATTGTCGTCATGCTTTTATCTTCATTGTTCTAGAAACTTTCATACAATCAGTCAACTTAGACACGTGGTACTATCATGAAGTTTTTGTGTTTAAATGTTTAATAAAAATAACATTTAGTCTGTAAAAAGTTTGTAAATAGTTTTCTGATTAAAAACTTGAAGTAGGCCTGTTTTCCTGTCAAATTTGAACTCTGTTTTACTATTATG